GGAGCCAATTAGGCCTGCTACTTGCACATTTACTGACAGATAACATGCTGTCAGAAAAAAAGTGATGAACTCATCAGTCTGCTGTTACTCCTTCATTGTGCAATCACAGGCGTAGGGCTGGGAAGATACCTAGCTGTATTGCAGAACCTTAGTAGAGGAAACTCAGGCCCCTAAACTGGCTGTGCTATCCTGGCACAACCATGTAAATCTAGGGACTGGATGGATAGAAATACAAAACCTTTAGCAGGTAAAACAAGTTTTTCATTTTTATTTGTTTTTATATTATGGGGATGTTGGAATGCATCCTCTGATGGACTCATGCTGGGGGCAGCAGCACAGACATATGTGGCTTTGGGGACCTCCTCTGCATTGTTAGCTGCAGGGCTTGGAAGTTTGTGCATGACTTCTTGCTCTGTAGTACAGCCATGCCCTACTTTTGTAGCCTGCATTAGGAAAGGCTTGAGAAGTTCCAGTGTTGAAAGAAAATGTTATGATCTGGCAGTCAGATTGAAATACCTCTGGAGGAAGAAGGGCAATGCTTCGCCTAAATAGCCATGGACACATGTGTCCAGCAGCCATTGAAAAGACTTGGTGAATAGGGACTGATACTCATTTGTGTTTGGTTGATTAACAGAAATTCACTTTGATTGCAGTACAGGGTAGGGCTCCCAGAGATGAAGCTAGTACATAGCTGCTGGAGAGTGTGTTACCACAGGGTAGTCTATGACTAAGCCCAGGATTGGGTGAAATGCATCAGAGGGGCAGAGCTTGGATGGGACACAGTGGGTGCTGCAGATTCTTCATTAAAGTGTTCCAGCGTTACATAGGGGGTGATTTACTAACCTAAACACACGCACGCACTAGGTGCGTGTGATTTTTACACAGCAAAACGTATTTATCAACCAAAAAGTCTCTAAAAGCATATTTCCACTAATGCCATATATGGAAAAATCATGCACATGATGCATATATAATGCTGCTTCACAGTTTAGACAAAAATGGTTAGCTCATGCATTTACATTCCTGCATTCATCAACGCAAGCAACACAACATAGAGCTAATTTACACAACATCACCTTGCAAATTCATGCAGGGCTTTGCACAACACACCTGCTGGGTGTGTACACACTACAAAGGTGTTTAGATTCCACCCATAGATCATGCTGGGAGGGAACACACTACAGAGGTGTATACATGTTCGTGGTGTGTTTATAAGGTTAGTAAATCAACCCCATAATGTGTGGCCAGTGTTTTCCAGGTTTGAACCACAGGGTAGTGGTTTGGCTTTTAAAGGAACAGGTATATTATTATGTATTGCGTTATATGCAAGATCATGAGAGCTTTAGGAACCAGAAAACTAATATTGAAGACTTTAGAAAGGTTGCTTTTGCACCCAGTGTTGCAGATTAAGTTCATATATATGTATTTTAACTATATATTTAGCTGCTTGCCTATAGGTCAGCTTTAATGGTAACTGAAGGTAACTGTCAGGACACATGTATGATTAAAGCTCTAAGGTGCCAACATTGTGCACAATATTGTGCCGGTGCATGGACGAAGATGATATGTGCATGTCCATTTCAAGCTATGGCGCCAAACAGCCTATTTAAACTTGCATCCTGCATGTGTTCAATGCTGAGACATCTTCAACTAGTTCCCTGTATCAGTGTATCTGACTCCTGCTTCTGCTTCCTGTGCTTGACCTGGCCTGAACTTCCAACTCTGCTGACCTCCGCCGATCCTTGTGACCCTGGCTTGTTGTTTGAACACCGCTTCGGTCTGCTGATTTGGGACTGCTTCTCCCACAAAGCTTTGACCCAGATTGTCGTGACCAGCTCCAGTCTCCTGATCCTGTGCTGCATCGCCTGCTAGTTACTGATTCGACTTGGCTCTCATTACGTTTACCCCTAATATCACTGCTTAGGTTCTGGTGGTCATCCTTATGCACGGTCTTCCATATCCAGGCACCTGCATTGCCAGCCCTGGTGTCTTCAGCATCTCCACCTGCTTGCACTCATGCCTCTCTCTCTGTCCCTCTACCTCCTGTCCCACTATCAGCAGCGCCCGGACAAGAGCAGCAAGAGAAGGCCCTCCGCGTCACGTCAGACTCATACCCAGGTACGTGACAGTAACTGTAGTTTTGTATCATAATTCAGCATGCCACCTCCATCACCTCTGTCATCAAATTCATATGATATGAACTCACTTCCCTCCTTCCATGGCTTTGAGGTTATTTCCCTGTGGTGCTATGATGTTAGGTGAAAAGTTGAGTGTACACTTAACCTGGGTGCAGAAATCTCTAAATCTAGACTTTGTGCATATGCAACTTTCAACTAACAACCAGAGGACTACACAGAGATAAACTCTACCCAGCTCTGCGCAGACTGGAAAGTAAGAAGTGCCAACTGTATGCATTTTAAGACTGTAATAATATTGACGGCTTTGATAGTCAGAGGATACTATAAATGTCACCTCACAGCAACCAGGTAGACTTTAAAAGGGCTACGGAAAGACCAATTATAGACTAATTCATCATAAGATATGTCCACTTTCACAGTTTGTGCTTCAGCTATTAAGTCTTCAAATCATACCATTTTAAATCTGCATAACGCAAGTTCAAAGTTATGCATTACATAAAAATGAGGGAAGAGTATGTAATAAGAGCCATGATTTATTTTATTTTTTTCTCTCTGGTATTTTTTCCAACAACGTTGCCAACCATATGTGTTTTATTTTACTTCCAAGAGAACATATAATTGCAGACTGCTGTGAAATTCTTCTAGATGCATGATCCCAGTACTAGAAATGAAGATGAAAACTGAACTCCACACAGTTCTTTAAAAATGTATTACCAATACTCTTAAATGCAGCTAGTGTAAGGACCTCAATCTGACTTGGTCACTAACATGATCTCGCTGTCTGTTGGGCTAATGTGTATCTTAGAACTAAGTAAAAAAAAAAAAAAAAAAATGAAAACCTTTTGCACATAAAACATCTCCCATATATGTATTTTAATTGCCTCAAGCTTGTAAAACACAAGCAAGTTAAACACACAACTGCAACCGAAGCTTTTTTTGGGAAAGTAGCGGCAGAATGGGTAACATTAAGAACCGTTAGGTTCCTATTATTGACCCCATTGGAGATTTTCCCCTCACTCTTCTGTCACTGACACTACAGTCTCCCCATCCAGCTCTTAGCAACCTGGGAAGCTCTGGCTGGTATCCCGCTAGCATACACATGTCCCCGCCCGCTCTGGTTGCCCCTACACATCTCCCTGCCCTCTTGCCAACCTTGGAAGCTCTGGCTGGCGTCCTGCCCAACTCCTGGCAACCAGTACTGTCCAGAACATCCCTGATCCATGAACTATTTCAGTGGAAAGATGCGTGTAAACGCGTGTCATTTTAATCATCTACATAAACAAAGCATCTAGCCTGACAGATTTCACAGACAGATCTCTGTAGCAAGTGTGACTGAAGCTGTAATGTGGCGTTATTAGCTCGTTTTTCATCTGAGTGTTTTGTATTGCTATATACATAAACAGTATATTTATTTGTGAATAGTTTTAGATAAGACATTGATTGTAGTCAGGGGCATAACTAGAAATCACAGGGCCCCAAAGCAAATTTTGTATGGGGCCCTGGGATTTCTACTTACGCCCCTTGCGGAGCCCACCGGATATCCCAAACATCCCATCTGAGAGTGACCCTGCAGAGCCCACCATAGACCCTCTATGGTGGTCTCTGGTGGGCTGGGAACACCCCTTACCTGTCAGCTCCGATCCGCTGTCAGCCTCCTCCACCACCAGGCCCCGCCTCCTCCATGGTTTCTGGCAGGCCCCACCTCTACCGCAGCCAGGCCCAGCTGCCACCGCTTAGCCCCGCCTCCTCCACAGCTACTGATGAGGACCATGCCACTGCACAGATCACTGACAGGTTTTCAGTGATCTGAACAGCGGCACATTCCTCCTCACAGCTATCAGTGACAGCCAGCGACGCCATAGCAACCCAGGCATCAGGGGGCCACTTTGTTCCTCATCCTGGTCGGGCCCCCCTGTGCCCCATAGAGGCCTCCTGGGTTGCTATGGCTATAGTTCTGCCTCTTGGCACTTCTATTTTTTGTGTATGGAGAAAGAGGGAAGGGAGCTTCAGGGTTAAATGAATAGGACAGAATTACCTCCAATATATTCAGAACTGGCAGACTCTCTAAATGTGCCTTTCTCTCCAGGTGAGCTCCAATATCTAATTACCTTATGGTATCAGGAAATATTTTTTTCCACTGTTGGAGCAAATTGAAGTAGCGTTCCGTTTTCATGCCTTATTAGGGTTTTTTTGCCTTCCTCTGGATCAACTGTGGGCATAGCATTCTGTTTAGGTTTTTCTTTCATTTTTTTTTTTTTTTCTTTCCCCCCTCCTCTATGGGTTGAACTTCATGGACTTGTATCTTTTTTCAACCCAACTACATCACTAAAAACAGACTATCAGGGACGGTGCTCAGGGGACCAGCTGATTCTGCAGGAAACTAAAACATTTCAACATCAAGGAGCAGCATCCATTGTAAGGGATTTCATCAGCATTTAAAATGGCTTAAAAACTTTTGTATTTAATATCACTTAAAAATACTATAGGAGTCATTTATTCCTAACTGAAGAGAGAAGCTGATTGGTCGCCATGCACAACTGCTCCAGTTTATGTCTGCTCCAGGTTAATAAATTCCCCCCCCTAGGTATTCACATTGGGCCCAAATCCTACTCCATAGAAGCCATAGTTCGATACACTGCACTGATAAAAGTAAAAAGCCTGAAGCAGCTTTATGTAGTCTGGAATAAATGGATATATAATATTGATATATTCACACTCTACACAAGCTATTCTGGATGTGCATTGAGGACTTGATTGCTTTGGCCCCTTCAACACCTGTATGGTTAAACTGTCCAAGTGGATAAAAGTTAGATATAATGTATAATTTAGATTATTTAACAAGGCAGTGCAACTATGTATTGCTTCTGAAGATTCCAAATTCATCACCCAGTTTTTTTTTTTATTATCTAAAAATATACATAGATCAAAAATGTACATTTCTTACAACATTGTTAAAAAAAAACCTATACATACAAATTAGGGCAGTTTAAAAGTGGTAAACTAATCTTACATTTTAGGAAATGTCTTGCTATTTTTTTTTTAAGGCAAGGACATGCACAATTATACAGATCCTTTAAAAAAGGTAAAAATCATTTGTTTTAAAAAATATAGTTTCTTTTCTAGTCAACGTTTAAGCCCTGAGGAAGAACTGGCTAAAATATATATATTAAGCTTTCCACAACTGCCATTTTGTAAATTCTACTAAGGGTGTATGTACAGTTTGGTCAAATTCCAAAGGCTGAAAGTTTTTGTAAATTACAATTTTTCCAGGGCTCCACAGTTTTTTTCCCCAATACAATATTCTGGGCAAGTCTAGTTGTTTTCCTGTGACTGTATGGTTGCCTGTAAAAAAAAAAAAAAAATTGATTAGGTATACAGAACAACATTTTATGTTCAACTGTTTTTATTTGCATTGTTGTTGTTTTAACATTTTCTATCTCTCATAGGGGAATACACTGGTGGAGGTCAGGTGTGATCTCTGTACAGATATATTTTCATCAAAATAATGAAACATTGGAATATCACTAATCTGTATCTATCAGCACTCCATATGCATTGTCATACATCGTTTATCTTGTCCAGATGTAACGCCCCATTCACACCTAGGCGTATTGTAATATGCGCGTCTGTCACGCGGTTTTTTTACCGCGATTCGCGGTAAAAAAGTCGCGTGATTCCAAAGGCTACTTGGCTGTATCCCAATGGAAAACGCCCTACAAAACGGCCCAAAGTAGTCCCGGGACCTTTTCAGGCGTGGGCCGTTTTGTAGGGCGTTAGGGACGGGCGGAAATACGGGGAGGTGGGAACGAGGGCATTGACTACAATGCAATTTATATTTTTGACCGTTTTGTAGAGCGTTCGTCGAGCGTAGCACGCCCTACAAAACGGTCAGGTGTGAACGCAGCCTTAAGGTTGAGTAAAGAATGCAAAAAACATTTTGTTGTAGTTAAAAAAATTAAAAAATATAATAATCCTGTATGCAGAAATCGTATTGTTGAGGTCTGTTTAACATAACCTAGTCTTAGACCCACCTTTTTCAAAATAACAGCAAGAAAATAAGTTGAGCTTCACCCTCTCAAACTGGCCAATTCTGGTGGAATTGACCATTTGCATTTTTCTTTGGTGGGGAGGGGGGAATTATTCTGTTACCCAAGAGGGACCAGGTTTTTAGGAATATTCAGAGTTAAGGACTTGTTACAGGATAACAATTTAAAACACCGTTAAACCTTTGTCAACGTATTACACATGGAAGCTGAGTTTTTTTTCTGGTTCAGTCCACCACAGCCAAGACAAGCAGAGGAGGAATGACCAGGAGCCAAAAACAAACAAACAAAAAAAAACAAAACAACTTTCTCCACATGGTCCTCCAGCTGCTTAAAAATTATATAGACACTATAAAAGTCACAATCCATGTAAAATGGTGGGCATTTTTCGAAAAAAATAAATAAATGTGTGTTTAAATTATATTCAAGACCCTGGAGTGCTAGGCAGCACTAATTTCCTCCAGTTCTGTGGATGTGCACTTCCTCTGCCTGTCCAACCAAAACACATCAATTTTCTTTTACTCTTCATATTCTTACATCTATTTACACTCACCACTGGAGCCCGCTCTCCATATTTGCTCCAGAATGTCATTTTAACTGTGTTTTTGTGCCCTGTTCGTTGGTCAAAAGTATGACAGTGGTCAAATGGAGGGCTATACAAGTGGAGGCTCACTGCTGGCTCTGTGTGGCTTGGATTCTCCACTCGGTGAAGGCCAATGGAATCTAGGAAGAAGATTACCAGGTTAATTAGATAATTACCGGGTTTATAGCAATCACGTAATCAGTTTTCTTTGTCCTGACCACTCTAAACGAACTTTAGCAAAAAAATAAAGTCACAAACTAAGTAAAATAATTATTATATAGGCTGTTACAGATCATTACTGACTACAGAAGATGCAAGAATTAGCAAATGCACCAAGCGTAAACGGTCATCTTGAACACAGAAAAATAGGGATGTTCGGATACTTGGCATTTTCATGAGAACTACCAGAGTTGCAGCTGCGCTTAGGCCCTAGCGCCCCACCACTGTCTTGAATAGCTTGCACAGTGCTCCTCACCACTGGCACTCGTGCCACTCGGTGTCCGCCAGGTCTCTGTACCCATCCCCAGAGGCCTCAGGACCCGAGGTGCAAGGGAGGCCTCCTCACACACAGTCTCAACTCAGGTACGTGACAGAACCTTTGGCCCGAGAGCCAGGGGAGGGGAGACTACACAACCAACCCACCCATTCATGGTTGCGAGATCTCTGTAGGTTAAAAAAAAAAGCAAACTGTGCAATGGTGCCACATGGTTTGGCAGGTATGGGGAAAGATGATTAATCCTAAATGACATGGTGGCACACCTTTTAGCATCTTCCTTCTCAGCTCTCAGCATTCAGTCACATGACATCTCAGACCCGCAAAAAAAGGCTGAAAGCCTCCCCCCTGGCAGACACTGTATTCACAAGTCTGTACATGGAGCAGATCACTATGAAATCCCCCAGTCCACTCATTGCCTGGTCTCTCTCACCCGTAACACAAACTAGGTCATACTCCCTTCTTGCCTCAGTAGCTTATTTCTTATCTGTTGCCTCCTGAACCACCACTGCATTTTTGTTCGGAGATGAAGATGAGGAAAAAAAAAAATAAGTAGTTGTGTTACCACAACCCTTTGGTATCCTGCAACCCAAATCCTGTGCTCTTCTCCTTGACGCAATGCCATTTGAGGATTGTGTAAAGAAGGAAAACAGTGCCTTTGTTTTTTTTCTGCATGGCCATCTCACTGTATCGCCAACATTTGAGTTGAGAGCAGGTACTCTCCCAACACAGCACTGTCAGCCTCTGAATGCATGGACTGGTGTATTGGTGGGAGTAAGTTGTGTCCTAAGCAAAACTCTTAAACTGGCCTCTGGCCAGGGTGCAGCTATCCAACCTCTGAATGGAATTTGCCAACACATTTCCCTGGGGCACTGAAGAAACAAAGTGAAAATGTGTGCAGTTACCTGCTGTACAGTCTGAAGGTAGTTTGAGATGTTTGCAGTCACCACAGAAGATAAAAATATATTTTAAGAATGTGCCATCGTTGCAAAGGCTGCCAAACGGCTAGAACATTTCACATTTGACAGGAAAAATAAAGTGTTATAATGCCATAAACACTATTCTCGCTCAACTGCATTTTTTCAGCAGACAAGCCGCACAAGATTATTTTTTTTACCCTGAGATGGTATACAAGTTGTTGTACAGGAGAGTGCACAGGTATCCAGTGATCTGGATCAAACTAAACTATTCATTCAATCAATTCACACAATGTGTTCACCATTTCCATGCGTTGTTTGCTTCTTTTTACAACTAAAATGTATTGATTAGGTTCACTAATAGATATTCACGTCATTAAAACATTTTTTGCTTGTAAAATTCAATTTACTATAATTACTGGCAGAACTTTACTGCTCAAAACAATTACCATAAAAAAGGTTGGCAGTAACTTTGAAGGCTTATGAGATACATACTGCTGAGAGCAGAAATACGAGTCATTTAAGGTGGAGATAGTTTATCGATTCATAAAATATATGGGCTTACAGTGGTTAAAAAGTTACTTAGTGCAAACAAATAGATTCAACTTCTAGCCAATACATTACAAGTGGCTGTTCATAAAGACCTTTAAAATAGGCTTTGTGAACTGACCCCAAATGATGATTGTACAAATCATTTGTCATCATTTGTAAAATCATTGCTTAGAAAAGGGGAATACAATTAGCAAAAAAAAATTATCATCATCATATATATATATATATATTTTTTAAAGTCTTATAAAAGTCTTTTTTTTTACTTTATAGAAGACTTCTAATTTTCTACCACTTAAAATTTAATTACTGCTCAATTGCAAAAAATGTATGACAATTCAAACTGAAGGAGAAATTAATGTATTGTATGGTTAGGTTAAAATATTTATAGTCATGTGTACAAAAATATAAAATTGTTTATTCAATTCTAACCAGCATAGGACAATGCACATAAAAAACTAGGTTAAAGTCACTTTAGCAATAGTACAAGTGATTGGCTTGTACAAAGGGAGTTTCCTCATACTAGATGTACAAATACGTAAATAATCAATAATGTTACCTTGAACATAAACCCTTAGGATATCAGTACGGTTGAGGATTATGTAACAGTTCAGGCACAGTATGGTTGTAACCTATGCAGAAGTTAAGCTACTTGTAGCAACTGTAGATAAATTGTTTATCAGGCCTTCTAAATGCTGTTATGTAGAACACAGACAGATAACATTATTGCATAACACAATGATATCATTTTGCTGTTAAAAGAATTCTGTGAATATAGAACTTTGTAGTTGCTTCTGCTGACCTCTTATAAAAAAAAAAAAAAAAAGGGTTGTGGCTTTACTACCAAAAAGAACACACCAAC